GGGGCGCCACTAAATTTTTAAAATTATTTTTTAACTGGAGACAAAAAAAAAATGTTATGTCTGTGAAGTGTCATTTCCTGCCATTTAAAGGTGGGTCTGAGGTGGTATAGACTCAACTGTGAAAGTCCCTCCCTGGCCTCAATTTTCTGGATCCATATTATATCATTTGTTTGTCGTTAAAACATTTAGAATAACAATGCACATCTAAAATCCCACGATGGAATTGGTGACCGGGGCCCAAAAAGGGCCCCCAGTCTCAGAAATAAACAGGGCCCCCGACCCCATCGTTACGCCACTGGTTTTCTACTTTCTACCTACTCGACTACAGAGATAGGCATATTTTAGAGGCATATAGCAACTCCTTCCCTGCCCCGGGCCCTGGTGCATATTGCTCGAGCCATTTAGTGGAGTCGTCGCCGGCTGATGTGCGTTTTGAATATCTTTATTGATTACATGATTATAAATATGAAATACTGCCTTAAATTATGCCCTAGTTTAGGCCTACAGTGTGGCCTAGCCATTATAGGCCTAGGGGCGTTTCTCGGCCGCGAACAAGTTCGGCTACGATGTCAGGGACGCCTATTCGGTAGTTGTTTTCATTTACATTGCTCAGTGATTAGAACTGAGCATGAGCAGTAAGCATTCGCTTGGCTGCAACAGTGTTGACTGGATTTGCATTATCAAATAAAAAGCATGCAACACACAACGAATCGCCGGGATGGAAGAACAAAGGAAATCTCGGGTCGTTTCCAATCTCCTTCTATATTGTTATATTATTATGCGATCGGAAGACTGCAGCGAAATACAGTAGGTTCAGCCATGGAGGAATTGGTTCAGCGAAGCAAGATTGCGCATGCGTTGGTAATGCATTCCGACACTGATAAATAATTCATAAATTTTTGCTCAACTTACCTACGATAAAAAGGCTTAACACTCACAGTGCGGCCTAGACCTATCCTAACTGTATGTCTAGCCTACCGTACACTAGCAGCATTCCAGAGCCTATAAATGCACTTAGATTGCCAAAGTAATTATAAATCACTATTTAAAAAGAAACATAGGCCTTTTACTTTACTTTGGGTCGCTGTCTAAAAAAACATCATAACTCTTTCAATATATACTGTTTTCAATGAGCGCACTGTGGTTTACGATGTGTATGTTTACATTATATTTTGTACCCATGTCGAATGTAGGTAAAAATGGCCCCGGAAAAATGGCCCAGGAAAAAATGGCCCTGGAAAAAATGGCCCCGGTAAAAATGGCCCTGGTAAAAATGGCCCCAATTGACAAGTAGGTAAAAATGGCCCCAATGAAAAAATTCAGTAATAGAAAAAATTTTTTTTTAAATCTTAAAATATTTAAATAATAGCTGTAAAAAGCAAGAATTGAATCAATAACAAATACAGTTACACAACAGATGCAAATAATGTACTGAGAGATTATCGGAAAACAATGGCCATTGAATAACATTTTTCGATAGTAGAAATAAGTTTTAAAAACGTTATTTCACTAACAATGTAGAGGAATGACATATATACAGTACTTCAACTACCAAAATATGCAAATCATAGATAACCACAAAATTCACTTTTGTTAAGTATCAAAATTAAATAACTTTACATGTTACAAACAGTGCAAATAAACAGTAGTTAAAGCATGTGGATCAATTGTGTGTTTTAATCACAAGTTTATGTATGGGAAAAGGAAAAGGCTTACCTACTTTCTCACAAACTTAGCAATAAATGTTCTGTTTAGAGTTACTTCAAAGAAGTATTTGTTAATCATATATTGTTTTTAAAGTAAAATAAATAATTAGGAATAGGCCTACATTTATTTAAGCAACTTATTTAATTGCATACTTGGTTTTTACTCCCCGCCAACTGAATTTAAGTGCCTAAAACTATACTAAATAATGTAAAATGAAATACTATATATACACATATGTAAATATGGCAATTATGCTAAGAATTAAAATGGCGTGTAATTGGGAGGGTAGGGTAATTATGGTAGGATAAAATGGTATTTCTAAATCCCACAAACCTCCCAAAACACACTGTAGAAAACCAAACAATTCAATTTTGATTGACTCACTTGGTGTATCAAAAATAAAATTAAATATATGTTAAGAACCTATTTTTTGGTTAAAATGTTGATTTTTTTCGTGAAAAAAATACTTGCAAATACACCACAAACCTCCAAACACACTGCAAACAACATCCAAACCCTTTAATTATGATTGTGAACTCTCTATTTCTAAAAAAAAAAAAAAAATTATAATTTGATGTTCATATAAACTCATTGTTGGTGGGGTTTACCAATACCCGGATTGAATTTCTGGAAATTGTGATTCCGTGTAATTGGCCATAAATAAATTATTTTAGTATTATTAAATGCATGCTTTATGTTGATTTATTGAATATGTTGTTGCTATTTTTTAACATTTAAATGGAAAAAAAGTGTTATTCATGGCTTTTTTTTTTATCTTTGAATATTTTATTAATGTTGAATATGTCATTCCTGCAAAAAGTAAAATGTAAATGGCAATTTATTTGATGTTAGATTCCTTTTTATAAACTAAATTATTTCAGTTTAATGATTTAAAAAAAAACAGTTTTAATACAGAATTTTTAACTACCTGTTATTTGGGGCCATTTTAACCGGGGCACCAAATCTATTGATGAGCTCTGGCTGGATGAACTGCACTCACAAAATATTGTGTAAATAAATAATAAAATATCGACCGCCAAAAACCAAATCGGAGAATCGGAACGACTGCAATTTCAGTTTAAATAATTGTTATAACTTGTTTTCGTTACCATTTTCTCTACAGATGTACAAGCCAATGGTGTAGCCAAAAGCAATTCCAACGTTGATATACAAGATTTCGCTTGATGCATCGGTGGGTTCCGGCGTGTAGAATATCGCGGTGGCAACCGTTCCATCTGCTATGAACTGCAAAAGTAAAGTTAATGCAATAAGATAATGTAATATCCGAATAAAAAAAAAAACTTCATCGGTTTTCATTAGGTTTGATTAGAAATTCCTTTTTGCATAAAACCATTTGCAGTAAACAGTTTCGCTGACTACCAATTCACATTCAAAGGAATTTCAAGTCAAATAGGCCTATGGGTACTGTACCGTAAGTAGGGTTTTTTTTTTTCAACAACAAAAGTTCGACCGATCAACGAAGTGATCTTCCCAGTTGATCTTTCTAAAATTTAAATCCCCAGTGATAATAAACTGGTCATGTTTATTTTACAAACAGCTGTCTCTTATACACATCTAGATGTGTATAAGAGACAGGTGCTGAAAGCGATCAAGTGAATTTCGCGTCGAAATGTGGCGCGCGCGGCTGAATCGAAGACGCGACTGGCGTTTCCAATGTGAACATGCAAACGAATTTGTAGTCGAACACGCGAACGCCCAATATTCGAACTTCCACGTGGTGCGCGTGGTGGTCGCGGAGGCTTCGTCTGCGAATTCTTCCAAGACCAACTTTTTCGGATTCGCGAGCGAATTCGCGGCCGATGGACCAATCGCAAGGCTTAGATTCAATTTATGCCAAAGGTCAACAATAAAGTCACGACCATTGTCGAAACAATGTAGGCCTACATATGTGCGAACGATGACCGACGAGTCCATTTCATGCAAACTCTGTGGAACACTGTAGGCTACCCTTGTTTAGGTCTGTGACAAGGGAGCAGAGAAATATGTGACAATGCGTAGAAAGGATTTGCAGAGACTTGACTTATCTCCTCTTTCTACCAGTATTAGGCCTGTCCAGCCTAGGCCTCTGATACCCTGCTACACCTGAGACCTAAACAGTAGGCTAGGCTAGGGCTACTATCTACTACCCTTAGGAGGCCTAGCTCTAGGCCTTGAATAAATATGAACTAAAAAAAACTATGCTTATATTTACTCTTTTGATTCATTATAGAGTTATATAGGGAATGTTACACATTTGATCATAAAACAATCACAGTAACCTCTCTTTTGAATTAGTTTGTTTAATTAATTTTCACAGACCACAGACTCAAGTGAATGGAAATTGATGAACCACAACCAAAGCAAATTTTGCTTCATTCTGCATCAGCTGAAATCAAGAATTAAGAAATGCTTCAACCTGGTCGAAGTCATGTTCTCCCAAGGAACAATAACATGTTAAGTACTTTTAATAGAGAAATAACCATTGAGAAATTAGTAAGATGTGAAACATTGAGTGGTGGAATTAGTTGAGGCTGCTATTGCAAATCAGGATGAAGCCTTGTTACTGAGGGATATAAGTATCTGGTCGCAATTCAGGCCATATTATAGGCATGAATCAATTAAAATTACTGTAGTCTTATCTGATTGGAACTATACTGTTTGATGAATGTTGTTATCTGTTTGATATAACATCATAACATACACTGTGTTGAGAAATATTACCATATATTTTTTAATTTTTCATTGTATGAACAGTTATCAACAACACATTTATTTTCTTTATAAAAATTTGCATTGACTTTTTGAATGGCATTGTATGGTATTTTACAATGCAATATGAAAAGAAGAAAATAACGGAACAGCACTTACTGATAAATTATATTGAATACAGCAGAACTGTCATTATTTCTAGTTTCTTTTAAACTGTTTATACTGGATGGCTACATTGATAATATTATATAATTGTATTATTTAACACATGTTCATAAGTGGATTGGATTGAACTCTATAGTCAGCTACAGTGTGCTACAGTGTTTCAATAATATTCACATAAAAGTATTCAGACTTTTGTCATAAACTTCTTCCAACCTTCGTGGTTACTGTTGTGTATTTAAATTTATATACCTAGTGAATGATCAGAGAGATAATGAAAGTGCTGATGGGATGCAACTGGCTGAACTGACCTATATTAAATATTTATTTGTTTACCTCCTCATTGGAATCATCAATTACTTTTATTCATTCATTAAGTCCATATTATCAAGGTCTTCAAGCAGCTAAACAGAATTCAACTGGCATGGCAAGAAATACTGATCATTGCATGAAAAAAAAAACATTTGAAATTTTACATCAGCCTCAATGTGTTCAGTATTTTTTTAAGTAATTCAGTCTCAGTTTTCTTTTAAATTTTTTTTAATGTATTAAAAAACAAAACAAAACGGAAAAAAATAGAATCGAAATATTATATTATATATTTCTGTCTTTCATTCAAAGTCAATAAACATACATCTTGCCCTTCCTACTATGCATACATGTAGGCCTAGGTAAATAACACAGTACACATTCAGTAAAGCACGGTCGCCTTTGGCTTAATACAAAAAACTACGGTATGATAGTCGAGGGAAGACGGGAAATGCGATTTACTACCTCAACAATCTTACTACTACAGTATTACCAATGTATTTTATTATGATATACTTATATCATATTGAAATATTCCACTAAAACCGAAGAACTTTCGTCCAAATTGCTACAAATTGTCACTTTCCTCGCGACATTGTTTATATTAGTTACCGAGTTTACAAGAACGCTTGTGATTGGCTAATAGCGTCACATCAATGCTTAACAGGTATGGTAAGTGTGCTGTGATTGGGTACTGCTTTCGTGAACGCAATTATTTTTTCGAAGATAAATTCTCATTTACAGTTTCCCCAAATTTACGATTGCCGACAATTATCTTATGTTTCAATAAAACATTTTTGTGCGAATGCCAAGTAGCCTGGATTGGTGGGTCACAGAATTCGTAAACTAAGCCGATTTTGGAGCCTCAACCCACGGTCTAATAAGGCGTACGTACGGGGTACATAAGGCGTACGTACGCCTAATTAAGGCGTACGTACAGCTTATTAAGGCGTACGTACGCCTTACTAAGGCGTACGTACGCCTTAGTAAGCCATTGGCCTACCCACTTTTTTTGTGACTGTTTACAGCACCAGTGACAAACATTTTACGAACTATGAATTCTTAGGCCACATTTTTGCAACGAAACAATCAATTAATCGGCTCATATTCACTGCAGCGAAGTGACCTTCAGAAGCCTTTGTTATCGTTTAGACTCGCTCATTTTATAAGGCGTAATTAATAGGCCTACCTTTGGTTTTTATGCATTGTTTGAGTCTTAAATATTATTAACAGTAGTACTGTACTAGTTTAACCATTTTACAATTTAAGCTATAACGGTCATTCATATTTTACGACGCACTTTTCCTAGCCAGCCTAAATCCGGCTATCCCGGACCTGCTCAATAATCGTACGTTCAGCTGGCAGAGAAACCTACAACCGTATGTTTTAGACCCTTGTGTGCCTTTAAATTTGCATTAAGTCAATAACACTCAGTAAATGTTGACAACATATTACTTAATGAGTATGTAGAAGGTGGAAATGAAATACCTAAAGGAAATTGGCCAATTTAAGGCAAAAGATACAACAACAGTACAACGCAGATTCATTAACAGTGGCGGAAGGCTATATACCAAAGCTTCGAATTTGCGGGCATAATGCCTAGACAGGATTGTTCATTCATATTGAAATTAGTGTTTTGATGGTGAATTTTTTCATCCAATGGGAATATATTTTATATGAGAAGAATCTATGAATAATCAGCTCTCATTTTACCGGGGGAACAACAAGATATTTGATTGGTAAACAGCCGAAATGGCAATTTAAAGCCAACGAAGTCGCTAAAAAGAGGAACAAATGTAGCCTCTACGCGGTGTGTGGTCAGCATAGTACCAATCGAAAAGTGAAAAATGATGGTGACTTTTTTTCAAGCAATACAATTGAAACAAATACAGCAATCAGAAAATAATTGCCTCTCAAATACCAAAGGGAACACAAAAATGACCCAAAAACAGTTTATGTCGGTGCGAAATACAGCGTGAAACACTAATTTGCTAGGCTATTCTCGCTCTTAAACGAAAATGTTGCAAGAAGAATCCCTATATTATTATTATTATTATTATTATTATTATTGTTGTTGTTGTTGTTGTTGTTGTTGTTGTTGTTATTATTATTATTATTATTATTATTATTATTATTATTATTATTATTATTATTATTATTATTATTATTATTATTATTATTATTATTATTATTATGTGCTTAGACACCTTGTTTATATGCATCTTATAAATCTGTTTATATGCAACTTATTATTATCAATATAAAAAATGTAGATTTTTTTTTTTCCATTTTCTAACGAGTTCCCTTTTTGAGTTAAGTAACTAAATGTTGATTGACGACTGTATACGCGCGTCTGTAAAGTTTCCTTAAAACCCATCCTCAAGCATGAAGAAAAAGTCGCCAGCCCTCGTGAATTCTGTATTTAGGATACATATGGGGGAGGTAGTAGGCACTCTTAATGGAGCGACGCTCTCGTTCTCTCTATACTAACCACGAAGATGTATAGTAAGTGTATTTAATTGATTGGCTTACAGTAATCCTTCAAACTAGCGGAATATAACCACATTTAAACTTCATCTAATTTAAAGAAAATCAATTATGCTATTTTTTTAAAAAAAGTTCTCTGAAGGTTCAATTTAACTACAGAATTTACAGTACACTGTAGTTAATGTGTTCCTGGTTGAAAAAACTGTATTGTGAAAAAAAAAATCGTTCGAATAAAAAAAATCTTTCGCTTGACATTAGGAATTAATCATTTGTGATACAAAATGATAGGCTATGTCAAGTGTTATATTGAACGGTGGCAGATTCAAGGTGGAACCAAGACAGCACGGCCGCCCCCCCCCCCCCCCCCAACCTCCTAATTTTTTTTTCAAAATTATTTTTTTTAAATGGAGAAAACAGGCAAAATTGTATTCAACTTTTAATCTGAGAGTGCCATTTCTGGCCATCTGCAGGTGCCATAATCATAATTTTTCTTACCCCAGCCCCAACTTTTGTGGGGATGAGGTTGGTGGACATTCTATTTACGCAAAACCCTCCTTAGGTGTCCCCTGTGTTTCGAC